GCCATCTTCTAGTTGCAATATTAAAGGATTCTATGACCCACCAGCCACTCCTCGGAAGGAAGGTTGGGCAATCCTACTTCCGTAATGATACTGCCTCGGAAACCCAAGGAGGGGTCGCTATGAGTCGGGGCCGACTCGACGGCACATGACAACAACAACAACATGGGCAAAATGTTGAATGATGCAGGAAGCATCAAAAGGAAATAGAAAGGAATACAGAGTGACTGCATCAAATGGAATTGGTCAACATTCAGCCATTTTAGGAGATAGCATATGATTAAAACCCAATAATACTGAAGGAAGAAGTCTAATCTGTACTGTAGGCATCGGCAAAAACAAGACTCCAGGAATTGATGGGATGCCAGTTGAGATGTTTCAACAAACTGATGCAATACTGGAAATGCTCACTCATCTTATGAAATTTGAAAGACAGCTACCTGACTAACCAAATAGAAGAGATCCATATTTGGGCCTATTCCAAAGAAAGGTGATCCAACAGAATACAAAAATCATTGAGCAGTATCATTAATATCACATGCAAATGAAATTTTGCTGACGATAATTCAAAACTGGTTGCAGCAGTACATCGACAGGGAACTGTTAGGAATTCAAGATGGATTCAGAAGAGGATATGAAATGAGGAATATCATTGCTGATGTCAGATGGATCCTGGCTGAAAGCAGAGAATACCAGAAGGATGTTTATCTGTGTTTTATTTCCTATTCAAAGGCATTTGAGTGTATGGATCATAACAAATTATGGATAACATTGTGAAGAAAGGGAATTCCAGAACACTTAACTGTGCTCCTGCCTAACCTATACATAGATCAACCAGTAGTTGTTAAAAAAGAACAAGGGGCTACTGTGTGGTTTTGGATTGAGAAGGGCATGTGTCGGGGTTGTATTCTTTCACCATACTTTTTCAATCTATTCTGATTAAATAATCCAACAAACCAGACTATATGAAGAACACAGCATTAGGACTGGAGGAAGACTTATTAACAACCTGCGATATGCAGACGACACAACCTTGCTTGCTGAAAGTGAAGAGGACTTGAAGTACTTATTGAAGATGAAAGACTACAGCCTTCAGTATGGATTACACCTCAGCATAAAGACAATAGATATCCTCACCAGTGGACCAATAAGGAACATCATGAGACGTGGAGAAAATACTGAAGTTGTTAAGGATTTCATTTTAGCTTGCTCCACAGTCAGTGCCCATGAACGCAGCAATCAAGAAATCAACCAACCTAGTGCATTGGGCAAATCTTCTGCAAAAGTCTTCTTTAAAGTATTAAAGAGCAAAGATGTCACTTTGAGGACTAAGGTGCACCTGACCTAAGCCATGGTATTTTCAGTTGCCTCATATGCATGCACAGGCTGGATAATGAAAAAGGAAAACTGAACAAAAATTGGTAACCTTTGAATTATGACATTGGCAAAGAATAATGAATATACCATGAACTACCAGAAGAACAAACAGATCTGTGCTGGAAGAAGTACAATCAGAATACTTCTTAGAAGCAATGATGGTGAGACTTTGTGTCACGTACTATGGACATGTTCTCAAGAGGGACCAGACCATGGAGAAGGACATAGAGGGTCAGCAAAAAGGAAGACGCTCAATGAGATGTATTGACATAGTGGCTGCTACAGTGGGTTCAAACAGCAACAACTGTGAAGATGACACAGGCCTGGGCATTGTTTCATTTTATTGCATATAGACTTCCTATGAATCTAAACCAACTTGATGACACCTAGCAAATTGATCATTATGAAATTCCTTTATTAGCCAAGATAATTTGTTCCTGTGTACATTTCTTTTCAAAAACTTTATTATGAAAAGTAGAAATAAAAATAAAGGAGAAAGCATTGCTTGACAAGGCACTTCTCTTAGCCCTAAAATAAAAGCCAAACTCACTACTGTCAAGTGGATTCCTACTCATAGCCACCCCTCCCTTGGGTTTCCGAGAAGTAGGTTGCTAGATTGCTCGGTCTTCTTTCTGGAGTAGATATTGCCCCAGCACAGGCAGCTGGGTGTTGTCATGCCCTAAGGTGCTTAGGCCATTAGCAGGTAATTAGCTGAACCTGGTAAAGATGCTGAGTCCTCTTTTCAGTGAGTTCACACCCTGGCCTGACTTAGAAAGAGCCCTGAAGACTGATTCTGCCTTAGAACTAGTGTTGAACACCCTGCTCTGAGAAAAAAAAAGCTTTAACCCATTCCAAATCAAGTTATAAAGAGCTTTAAGGAAACATTCTTCCTGGGCATTACCAGAGTTAGCAAGAAACAACAGGTCCAGAACTAAATATCACTGTGATAGATAATATATATTTGCCCTTTATCCAATACCTTTATTCCTGGTACTTCTTAGGATATGTTGTCTTTTTACATTTATCTGGCCTGAAATTTTTGCCTCTTTGCTTGAGGGTAAGAAACAATTAAGGTAGTAACAAGAAAGACATTAATGACACATAAAAAGAGGGACACACATTAACAACCTATGTAGCTAATCTGTAAAGCAGTTTATAACAGATAAACAAAACCTTTAAAAAGCAGTCTCTAGTAATTGAAAAGCATCAGATGGCTGTTATCTGAGATAAATGTAAGTACTTTGCATCTGGGCCAAAAGCAAAATGTAACATAGAACTTACTCATACCAGAAAGGGAACAAAACAAAACTGGAGAAGAGAAATAGGAGGTTTAAAAGGCTTTACTGCCGCTTTAAGTCTCTTCTTGATGGTATCTAAAGAACATGTAACAGAATTAGGGCATCATAAGTATAACGTGCTAAAGAAGTTATCGGAGTAGCTGTGGATGGCATTTAGGCAGTGATTTTGGTGACAGAATTTGTACTTCAGCTTTTTGAATCTGTGCCCCCCTCTAATCTCTGGAGAAATTTAATAGAGCTGACAGTAATGAAAAGTTAGCATTTGGTCATTTTGGAAAAAAAAGTATTTTTTTAAGGTATCAGTGAAGCAACATAAGTAAAATGTCATATGTGGAGTAATATGTGGAGACTGTTGAAATAGTCCTCTGAGATGATAAGTGTTGGAGCACTTAATGAAATACATTTTTCATTGTTAGAGTATAATGTAAAGAAGGCTGATGAATGAAAAAATTAGTAATATATAAAGATGTGATGTAGCCTAGCTTAAGAAGTCACATTAGTAGTAGAATCCGGAAAGAATTCTGTATGTTTCTGGTGTTCTCATTTGGATGGTTTAACAAGGAGGATGGTTGATCTTAGTAGAAATTTATATTCTTAAGTTAGGTTGTTGAATCTTGTGCTAATAAATTTTAGCATATTAAAATGGTGGCATAGTGCCGAAGGCACATGACTGCTAACCAGAAGGCTGGCGGTTCAAACCCAGCAGCCACTCCTCAGAAAGGGTTGGACAATCTACTTCCACGGTGAACACTGCCTTAGAAACCCAAGGAGGGGTTGCTATGAGTTCGATCTGACTCGACGGCAGTGGTTTGGTTTGGTTTTTTGGTTTATAAAAGTAACGTATTCTTGTAATGTGCTAAATATGCTGTATTTTGGGAAATATAGAAAAATATAAAAAGAAAAAATCTGAATTCTCAACACCTAGCTAATATTTTTGTAGATGTATTTCTAAATTGTGCTTTTTCTTTTAACATAGACATTTTTTCATGTCAAAATTTTATAAATAACCATTTTATAAGATTCTCTCACTTCCTGTGGTTGTTTCAGATTCATATTATCTTAGTTAGTAGTGGGAAGACCCTTCTATGTCATTTTTTTGTCCTCAAACCTGGTGCTCCCTTTGAATAGATTCCTAGAAGAGTGGGTCAGTGTATCATTGAGGCAGAACCAGGACTAGGAAAAGGTGAGGATGGCACCTGCCTCAGGCATAAAAGTTGAGAGTTTGCCAAAAACTCAGTAATGAAGATAGGTAACATTTTAATGCAATATTTAAAAAAATCTACAGTGAACCATATGTCAAACCCACATACTGTAAGGCAGGTTTCTTAGTTAGATCTTTCTAAGCGTGTTTCTTTGTCATTTAATAAGTACCTAATATGAGGATAATGTAACATTGATTTATCAGTGGTGTAGAACAGAGGATCAGCAAACTTTTTCTGTAAATGGCCAGATATTTTTGGCTTTGTGGGCCGGCCATAAGGTCTCTGTTGTAGCTACAGAGCTCTGCCACTGCAGAGTGAAAGCTGCCACAGATACAGTATGTAGATGGATGAGCTTGGTAGTGTTCCAGTAATGTCATTTGTGGTAATAAACATATGAAATTTGAATTTCATATAAATTTGACAAGTCACAAAATACTCTTTTTTTTTTTAATTTTTTAACCATATGAAAATAATTCTTAGCTTGCAGGCTATACAAAAACAGGCAGCAGGCTGTATGCTGCCCTTGGACCATGATTTGCTGACCCCCTGGTGTAGAATATTAGCTTTCCTGTATAAATTTTGTTTCACTAAATTTCATTTTGTAAGAAATTTTTCTTAATTTATCATAGAATATTCCTTCTTTTATGTGGGTAACAAGGATGATTGGTATTTTTTTCCCTGAAGTTGAAAGTATATTTTTAAAAAGGTCCTATAGAAAGATAAGGGAGCTCTGATAGCATAGTGCCTAAGGCACTTGACTGCTAACCAGAAGGCTGGTGGTTCAAACCCACCAGCCACTCCTTGGAAGGAAGGTTGGGCAATCTACTTCTGTAGTTTTGGCAAACCGAGGGGGAGGTCAATATGAGTCGGGTCTGATTCCACAGCACATAACAGCAGCAACAACATGGAAAGATACTTTAAAAAGAAAGCTCCATTATTTTTTTGTTTACATATTTAATTTAAAGAATTGAAAATAAGTGTATTCTTAATAAGAGGCTTTAATTATTGCTCTATTGAATTTTCTCTGCTCACAGGTGGAGACATACTACGTCTTGACACACTTTTAGAATGGTGGAGAGAAAAGAATGGTTCCTTCTGTTCTCGGCTTATTATCGTATTGGACAGTGAGAATTCAACCCCATGGGTGAAAGAAGTGAGAAAAATTAATGACCAGTATATTGCAGTGCAAGGGGCAGAGATGACAAAGACAGTAGATATTGAAGAAGCTGACCCGCCACAGCTAGGTGACTTCACAAAAGACTGGGTAGAATATAACTGCAACTCCAGTAGTAACATATGCTGGACGGAAAAAGGACGCACAGTGAAAGCAGTATATGGTGTGTCAAAGCGGTGGAGTGACTACACTCTTCATTTGCCAACAGGAAGCGATGTGGCCAAGCACTGGATGTTGCATTTTCCTCGTATTACATATCCACTAGTGCATTTGGCAAATTGGTTGTGTGGCCTGAACCTTTTTTGGATCTGCAAAACTTGTTTTAGGTGCTTGAAAAGATTAAAAATGAGTTGGTTTCTTCCTACTGTGCTGGACACAGGACAAGGCTTTAAGCTTGTCAAATCTTAATTTGGAGCCAGAGTGGAATATTACTGAGAGTTATCACTTATCACTAACTTGCCATTTTTTTATATGCTGTATTTTTATTTGTGGAAAATATCTTGCTACTTCTGTAGCTCCTCTCACTTTGTCTTTTCTCAAGTAATTATGGTATATGAAAGGTGTTGGAATAAGCATTATTTTATACTACAAGAATAGAAGGAGTTAAAAATGCTGATTCTGTGAAAATGTGCAACAGATGTTAAAGATAACAATGCACTTTGAGAAATGTTTGCATATGTCTCAGATTAGAAACAAAACAAAACATGGCGTTGTTTATGCTCAGCAGTGGCCAATGAAGAATTTGCAAATGCCTTTTTTCAGTCACATATTAGAAAATGCATACCAGACAATTTGTTTACCATTATGAGAAAACTACCAGTTTACTTACTGAAGATTCTTTTTGTGAACAGTAGGTTTGAGCCCAAGACCATTTTAAGAACCACAAACGCCTTTTTTCTTAGTAAAGGGAAAAGGAAGAAGCCTCAAGATGAATGCATAGCTTGCTTATAGCCAACCACACGTAGATGTCTTAATTGTGACACAGTACCAGTATAAAGAAGCCCACGTTATTTTTGTCGATCAAAATTTTGTTTTTAATGTAGGTACCTGTAAGACTCTAGAACGTGCACATTGCTCCTTTGCGCATCGTCGGCGTCCTCTGAAAGCACTGCTGATTTTAAGGGTCTTTCTCAGGGTCACGTAATGTTTTCTTAATGACAATGTTTCCAACTGTAAGTTCTCTCAAAATAAATTGTCTTCCTTCTCAAAAAGTACTCTTACAAAAGAAACTTAGTAATTTCTCCTTGACTGATTCAGGCAATATTAAGTATTCAGAGATAATTTTGATTCCTGTAGAGTTAAGGTCTCCTTGGAAATTATTTTTCAAATTTCATTAGTGATAACATTTATTCTACTTACGGTCAAAAGGATAGAAAACAGTTTTTTTTTTCCCCCTTGTTTACATGGTATTATGTAAAAAAAAAAAAAAGTATTATGTGTTAGCTATTTTAGTTAAGCATAATGGTGTGGTTGGAATTTTTAAAACTTTATTCAGTGTTTTGTCTGATTACAAGAGGAACTGATCAGTGTGTCTCCTGAGAGGTAATTAACCTTCTATTCCTTTCTAATGATCTTTACATCCTAGATTTTCATCTTGGAGAAATAAGAGGAATAGAATTAAATGTAGGGATATTCTAATCTTTATGTTGGTTAAATAGTGTGACTTCTTACCATTGAAGCCATTTTTCTAGCTTCAAAGAGCAGAAACAATGCCTCTACCCTTTTATAGCTAGTGACTTGAGTACTAAAGTTTGAGTTAAGAAGCAGTCACTTAGCATCAGGGAACTCGTGTACCACTATCTATGCAGCATTGTTACAGTTTGATTAATTCTGTGTTTTGAGTACAACTTTCCTATACCTTTGAATAAAAGTTTGGTAAAAATTCTTCACTTAATGTACAAATAGCAGTTATTGAATATTTTGGTATATTAAAAGTGATAGTCACTTAAAAATGCCCTTGTTTTAAAAAGTTTATGCTTGGGGGCAGATTGGTTTGAAAAGTTCCAGTATTTGCTTATGTATTTATATAACATCATCCAGAGAAATGGAGCACTATAAAAGCTAAGTGTTAAAATTATGAGCTTGTATCTCCAAAAAGTTAAATTGCTATTAAGTAAAATCTCCTTTTAAATTTCTCTGTAAGCCAGTATTGAGCAAATTAGCTTTAAAGCATATCCCTTTACTTTGAGAAAGCCAAATATAAAAGTAAATTCTGCATTCTCATGAGGTAGTAGTATCACCAAAAACCAAACCCACTGCCGTCGAGTTGGATCCAACTCATAGCAACCCATCCTTGGGTTTCTGAGGCAGTATCACTATGGAAGTAGATTGCCCAACCTGCCTTCTGAGGAGTGGCTGGTGGGTTTGAACCGCCAGCCTTTGGTACTGAAAATTACATTTCAAAAAGGTAGCATACAGTAAAGAGCCACAAAGCTAACTTTTTGTTAGATATTTTCCATGAAAGTACAACCATAAAATGGTCTTCGGGCTGAAAATATGATGAGCCAATCTATTTTTAACCAAGAAGTTATAGAATATCCATTTTGATGAATTCTACAAAAACAAAAAAAGTAAAAATAAAACTATAAATGACTCTTGAGCATGGGAAACTCAATGGAAGAAGGTATCTTAACATAAAGCTGCCAATTTAAAAACATTAACTAAAGTAACTGACAGGAGCTCTGGTGGCATAGTGCCTAAGGCACTTGACTGCTAACCAGAAGGCTGGTGGTTCAAACCCACCAGCCACTCCTCAGAAGGAAGGTTGCGCAATCTACTTCCGTAGTGATACCACCTTGGAAACCCAAGGAGGGGTCACTATGAGTCGGGCCGACTTGACGGCACATAACAACAACAACATGCTTTTAAAAGTAATTAAAACACATTTATATTTAATGCATTGATAAGATTTTTGTTTTAAGTAAAATCTCCATTAGAATCTATTGTAACTATGTATATTTTCTTTGTTAGCTTTTTTCTCTTTTTTTTTTTCTGCTTAAATATATATGCTAATTTGGGTACAGCCTTTGTTTACGTATTCTTTGACATTTAGAGATTGGTCTTTTTAATTTGTAATGTCCAACATTACCCTTCCACAGGTGATGTGATAGTTAATATATGTATGCCAGAAGAAAATGGCTTAATTGTAAGAATGTGATTAAGTATATTTGAAACTAGGAGCTCTGGTGACGTAGTGCCTGAGGCATTTGATTGCTAACCAGAAGGCTGGTGGTTCAGATTTGCCAGCCACTCCTCGGAAGGAAGTCTGGGCAATCTACTTCCGTAGAGATACTGCCTCGGAAATCCCAAGGAGGGGTCGCTATGCCCGGCTCAACAGTGAGTTTGGTTGTTGGATATTTGATACTGAAAGCTCCAATGAGTTAGAGTTTACAGTACTTTTGAATGCCGCTTAGTGGCTAAGGCACTTGACTGCTAACCAGAAGGCTGGTGGTTCAA